GGACGGCTCCGTTCAACCCGGTTTTCCTCATGGACACTAATTTTGAGGCCCTCAGCCCATTGGCATGGTGGATTGGGCCATTTGGAGGTGTTTAATTGACTTATGGGGCCTCCAATCCGTGTAAACGTGTCCTGAATGAGCGGAGGTGCATTTTATCGCATGACGGATGTGTTTTCTCTTTAAAATATCTGCATTCACATATTTCACCAACGCTAGTGGAAATGATACTATGTTTTATTTCATTATATGCAGGTATGGACGGTCAAATGTTATGATTTAAGGACCGTCAACAGCTGGCAACAAGTAATGAGACCCGCCAGTGAAAATAATTTTGGAGAAAACAAATATAAAAATCAGATGTGGGAACTGTCGACGGCATGATCAGTTGGTGAGGGTCAACAGCGTAGTGTTGTTGGTGTCGCCGCCACCCTCTCCCCCACCATCCGGTAGTTTCCGCTGTCATCCTTCACCACCGTGTTGTCATTGTTATTCTCGTTCTTGCTGTTGTCCCTATAGTGGCCCTCATCGGGGGACGTGAGCAACGAGGTGGATTGTGAGAGGGAGGCGAGCGTGAACGCTTCGAGCAGCGAGGCGGACCACGAGAGGGCAGGGACAGCATGGCCATTGCCAGATCCACTGCCACCACCCCTCATCTTCGACACCATGTAAGCGGACCCGGTGGTCCTAAGCGTTGCCGCCGCCGCCGGATCTACCACCTCCACCGCCACCACGCCTCTCCTTCGCCACCACCAGATCCATCCCCTCCACTATCACCGCTTGTCTCCTTCGACGCTGTGAAGGAAGATCTGCCAAGGGGAAGTCACTGTTGTCGTTGTTTTCTGCTTGTGGCCGATGGCGAGGTCGAGGTCACTGCTACCGACACCGAACCGCAACCCTAGCCGCTGGATCCATCCACTACACCGTCGCCGCCCGTCTCCTTCCCCGCCGCCGGATGCTCGCATCGCGACCCACCGCTGCTGGATCCGAGCCCTCGTGACCCGCTGTTGCCGGATCCATGCCCCCTCCCCTCTGGCCAAATCTAGGAGAGGGAGGGGAGGGTTGTGTCGCCGTCGCCACTCCCTGTAGTGCGGCCACCTAGTCGTCGAGGCCGTGCGCGTTCTGCACTGGACCACGCCGCTGCCTCTCCTGCGCGCTGCCGCCGAGCTCTGCCACGCAATGCCACCTGGCCAAGCCGTGTCGCTGCTGAGATAGCCGAGAAATCGAGAGAGAGAGAGAGAGAGGAGATAGATAGATTGAGAGAGAAGTTGTGCCGCTGCTGAGATACCGAGAGAGAGAGAAGATATCGCTGAGAGGGAACCGAGAAAAAAAAAGAGGAAGTGAAAATTTGACTTCCGCGCATGCTCCCACGATTTTTGCTGGCGGTGGCTTAGGTGGGCAGCTAGTGAAAATTGATTTTTGCTGGCAGTGGCTTAGGTGGGCCTCTAGCGAAAAGGGTGCAGCTTCGCTGGCCGGCCGCCAGCAAAAATACCTGTTGGTACCGGATTCCAAAAATTTGTGCACCGTTACCCACAAGACAAGATCCTTTATTTCTAACCATTTCTTAACCCGGCCGCCAGCAAAGATCCATTTTCGCTGGCAGTCCTTTGCCCCACACCCCTCGTTACATTTTCTCTGGCGGTGTTCGTGTATGGTCGCCAGAGAAAAAAGATAGGTGGACGCCATGAAAAATTGATTTTGTAGTAGTAGAGACAGTGTGTGAAAGCCTGATGGACCGTGGGTGCCTGTGCGGCCTGTCTACGTGAGGGACTGTGGGGTATGGCAAAGGGGCGGTAAACGGCTGAGGGACTGTTGACGGCTGTTAAGTACAAAATTCTTGCCGTCAATACCTGCATAAAACCATAAAAGTAAAACAACCAACATAGTAGTATGATTTATTTCTAACTATTTTCACGAGTGTTGGTGTATATTCGTATGCAAGTAATCAACCACCAAAGTTGGGAGAGAATGATCGTGAAGAATGCAAATATACTTTGGGATGATGGACCCACATGGTTTTGAACTATAACATATAAAATGTGCAATCATTTTGAGCTAAAACATGGTGTGCCATAAAGTGGGGCCCACATGTCAGCATCCTGAGGAAGGACTAGGACAGCAGAGCCGGTCAGGGTATCTAGCCCAATTGTATGATGGTTGTACTCCTCATCCCAATGACGGTTGTGGCCGTTTCTACCGGTGGAAACCGTCATAAAGAGGACACTTGTCAAGAGGAGAGTGAAGATTCCATTTAGATGCTTAGCATCTTCACATTCCCAAGGCATCTTTCCACACTATAAATAACCCTCTCCTCTCCCTTATTCACACACACCAAAGCGTGAGCTGAATTACAAGATTAGGGAGAGAGTAAGGTAGAAGAAATCGGACGAATTCCGGAGTTGTCGGTAATCTCCTCTTACTTTTGTATCTTGTTAATTACTCTGCTTTAATAGAAATATCATTCTGAGTAATTAAGATTTTCTTAATGAGAATTACTTCTTGGTTAGTTCCTAATTAGCATACATGATCATTGTTCACTGTAGTCTATTAAATTATAGTTATTGATTTAGTGTTTGATCGGCACTAGAGTAGTTATTAATTGCGTAGACGCGGTGTCTGTGTAATTAATTTCCTGTTGTTGTTGTGTATCCCATAGTACGTTTGAGGTGGGTGTAGAGGTGCTGATAGCCCTCAAGAGCACTTAAGTCCTCCCTGTCCAGGTACATAGTAGAGCGATATCCGGGAACAGCGGGTTGCCAGTACCTGAAGTATTGCGTTAGATTAAAATTAAACTTTCCCTAGACATTGTTTGTCATTAGGATGTCCTCTGTCTTCTGCCCACATTAGCTTTGTGTCCTTGGATGAACCTGACGAGGAGTTAAACTCACACGTTCAATGCGGAAATCGATACACTGGAATACTCCCGGGTGAAGTGCTACATCGGTATCTTCCGTGTGCTTGCCAATTCTATCTGTGACGTTAAGAAATACCAATAGGGACAACAAGGTGTGAAGGGGGAAATTATTGAATTGTCCCACATTGGTTATTAAATGGCAAATGACCTAATATATAAATGGGGGAGCCTCTCACCTTATTGGTTAGCTTTTGGAGTGGGAAAACCCTTTAAGATCTTACAAAGGCATGCAATATTTATGTGGCATAAAAAACAATTTTCTTTTCCTTTTTATCATTTTTATTATAACATGTGGCTGATTTGATACATGATATGAAAGTTTGGCCATTAATTGTTCTATATAGTTAATGCTAGTACCTACTCCCTCCGTTGCAGAATACAAACATTTTTGGTTGGATATGTGTATTAAGAAATTATGTAGATTTAAATTAGGAATATTATGATTAGTTGAACAGAGAAGGTATGTGAGAAAATTGAATGGTAGAGGATTGTGATTGGTCGGAAAGATAATATTGGTGGAGAAGTTGTTATATTTTAGGACAAATCTTAAATACTAGAAATTGTTATATTTTGGGACGAAGGGAGTAAAATATACCGACCTACCACTACGAATCTGAATGGAAGGTTACTAGAGTTTATTCAGATTGATTGTACTAGGTTGTATCTATTCTATTACTAGGTTGCTATATTTTAGGATAGAGAGAGTATGAAATGACTTGTTGAACTAATAGTGGTGTTAAGAGCCTCTTTGGGGAGCTTCTAGCAGTTATAATTTCTCCCATAATATATAGATTTCCATACAGTGTAGATTCTTACCTACATTCTAAGAAGCTAGGAAACCTAGGTTTCCAGACACTTAGAAGCTGGCTACCAAGTGGTGCTTCTCAGGATCTGAAGCTCCCGAAACAATAGCTTTCTCGACCCAATGGCTTCTAACAGTATGTGTGGCGGTGGCAATTTCCCAAAACCCCATGACCTCTCGCGCATGGAAATCAGTCACATTGACGAGCAAGCTCATCTCTTTAAGTCTCAGTTCGTTTGGGCTCATTATCTTAAAGAACCATTCCAACTTAACTGGGCTCCTTAATCTTAATGAAATAAAAGCTTAGCTTGGCTTGACTCGCGAGCTGATTTGTTAAGCTTTTGTTAGGCTTGTTAACATATTTATATATCCTTTATAATTTTAAATTTACCATTTTATCATATTAACATAGTAGTAACACTAAATATAAATAGCTTGGATAAAATTGAAAGACTAAATAATACAAAGTATATGTAGTTATGATGATCTCTTGTACTAACAAGCTAAATGAGCAATCTGTGAGCTGCCTCATTAAGCTCACAAGCTAAAAGCCTATCTCCGCTTGACTCATAATGATTACAAGTAATCTAAAAAAAAATAATTACAAGTTCGAACAAAACTCACTACAAACCAATCCAAACCACAATCTTTGAGCTTTCTTTCCGTCCCTAGCAGTGACGCTTGTGTTGAGACGAATCAACATGACACTATAGGTCACACCCCTTCCTGGCACCACCTAATAGTGACACCAGAGGGAGTGCACCGTAGGAGATCAGTGTGAACCTACTCCCACGGAACCGCTATGCTGGTACCAGAAAGCTAGGCGGCAGCCGGCGGGCATGGCGGCGCTGCGGAAAACGCGGAGGCGAGCGAATAGCGATGACGTCGCCCCCTGGTGTGTCACGCAAGTTACCGCATCAAGCACCTGCGCGTAGAATCTCATTAGTGAATCGGACTTTCTCGTTAGCGGAAAGAATCAAATTGCTCCCTACGGGTGCACATGATTTACGTGGGTGTGAAATGGGAAAGGGCGTTGCAAAAGTCCGTGCAATATAAGGATTGACGGATGACAAAAACAATAGTTATGTTTTAAGTAGGTAAAGATAAATATAGACAGATGCTCCGGGGCCATTACTGCCGGTAAACCCAAGCCAAAATTGGAAATTTTTCTACCAAAAGATCTTATTAGTGTCGGTTCTAATAACGAACCTGCACTGCTGATAAGTGCCTTATCAGTGCCCTTTTTTTTTACAAACCAACACTGATAAGACCCGTCATATTAAAACCATTTTATTTGTTGAATTGGCACTGATACTGCCAGTTCTTGCTCCTAGGAGCGCGCACGGGCTCAAGTGAACGAGTGACCTCTACCAGTACCAGTTTTTGTCTAACTCGCACTTAAGGATCGTGTTCAATCCCGAGATCTTTTAATTGTTTACACCTAGAGGCATCCGCCACCTTTTGGTCGTCGCCGCCACCTCCATTGTCCTTGTTATAAAATCAGACCCGGTAGCACATCGAGAAATAAACACAGAAGAAACGTCACAGGAGATCCAAACACGATATCGCCGCTGAACCAAGATATTAGTAGAGGTCCTGAACCGGCTTTCCTCCGTCTGAATCGGCAGTCGTAGCCACTGAATCAGCTTTCTGTTCCTGAAAACCATCAACGAAGGAGGGGCAGATCGATCCCCTTTCTCCCATCCTCGCTCCTCGCGCTCACACGGCACTCCTCAGCACCCGCCACTGCTGCCGCCAACACAGGAGCCGCCGCGCATCACTGCTCCTCTGTGCCCCTGAGGACGTCACCGCCGGTGGCCACTTCCGCCGCCGCCTCCTTGCCTCCTGAACGCTGCCGGTGAGAGTGCCGCCGCTGTGGGCTTCCCGCCGGTCGAGGACGCCGATGCCCACGAGTCGCTCCAACGCAGAGGAAGTCGCCGCCCTGCTGTCGGAACCCGCCGCTCCACCACCTGGAGCCGGCGCCGCCAAGTCGTCCGCCGCCTGCACCGCTGTTTGATCCGCTCGACGCCAAAACCATAGTCGCCAGCCGTTAATAGTTCGGCAAATTTAGGAGGAAGTTTGAGGCTCTTGTGTCGCTCTCACGCGGGTGGCTCGGGGGCAGAACCGCCGCTGGAAACCGCGCGGCCGGCCCGGAAGGTAGCGGCGGGGAAAATGTGCCGGCGGTGGAGTTTTCTTCTCGGCGTGGGAGGAGAAACAGCGCGCGTACGGCGGGAGGCGGCGGCTGGCGGGGCGGATCCGCCTCCGGCAACATTCGCCATGCATCTTCATTTGTCTCCGCTTGATGCTGACCGAAGGGGTCCCTGACCTACCATCAACACAAATGATTGTTTTGTATTCGTGCCATGCATGACCCGGTCCAGTACTGCCTGCACGCGGAGAGTGCAACGAACCTCACTACCCACCTAATAGGACTAGTAAACGAGAAGTCAAGGTATTTTATTGTTGCTCATGGCTTTGTGGACCGAATTGGGATATTGGATTGGTCAGGTACCTGAGTGAGTACTACGCTGTTAATATAGATTGACATGAAATGGAAAACAGAGTCCTCGGCGTCTAAACCCACCTAACCCATGATAGACTGCTGGTAATTTAATTTCAAATGTCAGGGGAATATGATTGTCTGCATGATGCGCGAGTGATATAAACTCCATGATAAGCATCCTCTCTGCTCAGACCTCAGAGAGCTCACTGCAAAAGCTACCATTTCTGATTCGATCTGGTCGCCAAGTTCTCTCCCCTGTGCAGTCTTTGGCGAAGGTGAAGAATCCATTCAATCGATGGCGGAGACGGTGCTGAGCATGGCGAGGTCGCTGGTGGGCAGTGCCATCAGCAAGGCCACCTCTGCGGCGGCCCATGAGGCGAGCCTCCTACTCGGCGTCCAGAAGGACATCTGGTGCGTACTGCACGAAAACCTCACCCGTAGTTTCCATCTTCGCTTCCGTTTTATTGATTGCCAGTTTCAACCAAAATATGTCAGGCAAAACTATTGCTGAAATGCGCAAATATATCAGGGACTTAATATATGTTTTTACTTTGCCTATGGGTGCGTTCCTTTTTCTTGAAACGGTTGCACCCCAGCTTTTAGTGGAAGCATATCTCTATCTCTACTAATATAAAAATTAAAGATATTTTTACCGGTACTTTGATACGTCATCCATGTATGAGTCTGTTTTAAGTTCGTTCGATTTTGGAAATACATATCCATATTTGAATCGGTTTTTAAGTTCGTTCCCTTTTGGAAATATAGAAGGAGTCGAATAAGAAATATCTTTGAAAAAACTCGCATGCTAACCTGAGATGATCGGACTCCTAATTGCAACTCATGATTTTCTAAAAATATATATATCCAAGCAAATTACCACAACGAATTTCACCTTAATTAAACCGTATAACAATAATAAGAAATAACCTTCATCTGTTGTAACGCATGGGCATTTTTTCTAGTAAATTATAAAGTTATCTTAGTAGTGAATGGGACACCAATAATCTTTCTAAAACATCTCTTTAAGTGGAGGACGCAAATCTTTGCCTTTAATTTAGAAAAATATTTCTTCTTGTCAGTTAAGCAAAGAAAGTCCCTCGGTGGTCGAAATTAACCGTTCCATAAATCATGTGTGCTAAATCCACTGAACTGAAGTAGAACTGTTTAAAATACGAGAAATTTTTTATGCCTTGAGAGATACCAAGACGTACCTGTTGTCGAAAGACAACTGTTTCATGTCGAAAGACGTGGTTCACTCAGTGAATTAATGGAATAGTAAAAGCAATATATTAATTGGTAAGAAATTTTTTGGGATCTCCCATTATATCATCTTAGGAGGCTATTTATAGCCTTAACACAAACTCATGCCTCCTAGGGTTTAATTTGTATAGGGGAATTTACATGGGTACCCTTATGATAGGGACTTTAGTGAGGGCACACAATATCATTTGTGTTTATGGGCTCTTACGCGAACTCCTTGGGCCGGCCCATTACTGGTGAAAGGCCTCCATGGTGTCTCCCAAGCCCTCTGCCGAAGCCACTTCTAACAAGGGCGAAACCCTCCTGCTTCACTCTACAGCCTTTGCCCGAAGTGATGGCTCGTTAGGGTGATGGGCTTGGTGGCGAACCCCTCGGTCTTCATCATCTAACTTCGTCAGCTGCTTCGCCTTATGGCTTCGCCTCATGGAATCAGCTAACCTCAAGGTTCTCGTGGTTTCAGCAGGCCCGGCCGAAGGCCCTCGTGATATGCCTCCAACAGTACCATAAATTTTCATACCTCCTAGTACCGTAGATACCAAATTTTATATTAGAAAATATATTCGGTACCTCCTCAAAGATTGAAAAATCACTCTTAAACTACACACATGTCCATAAACTTGGACCAATCAATCATGTCAGTGCGTGAACAAGTAAGATATGTACCGATATCCTAACACTACTGGGAACCCATCTTTAGTCCCAGTTTGCAACCCTCTTTAGTCCCGGTTGCAAACCGAGACGCCCAAAGCACATCTTTAGTCCCGATTGGTATTTGATTTCGAGTGGTTCCATGCCCCACATCGAGTTGCTCTCGACATCCCCAAATCCCCACATCAAATTGACATCATATATCGAATGAACATATTCAACAACAAAATCATCCATAAATTCACAAAAACATCTTAAAAAATCTACAACAAAATCATTCATCCACAAATTCTTTTCTTTATTCACTTCTCTCCTTGCTTCTCCTCGGGCAAGGCGGCTGGCAAGCCCGGTCGAGCTCCTCGTCGCCGCCTCGAGGGAGGGACAACAGCCACGTGAGTAGATAAGGACGCGGCTCTCTCCCTCCACCGTGCGCCTCTTTTTAATTTTTAGTCTCGGCTGCTATAAACAATGGGGACTAAAGTGATGATCTTTACCAATCGGGACTAAAGATCGTTGGCCGCCTATAACAATTGAACCGTGGCTAAAAATAATCTTTAGTCATGGTTGGTGTTACCAACCGGGAATATAAGATTATAAAGTGTCGCTGGGCTTTTTAACCGGGGCTAAAGGTATTTTATAGTCCCGGTTTCTATTTGAACCGGGACAAATGTGATTTTTGTCATCCGGGCAAAGATCAGTTCTCCATTAGTGTAATCTGGGCAAATTTTATTACATGACACCTGAAAATTGTGTAATTTGCTCATAGACATCGAAAAATGTGTCATGGATGAATGATATTTAAAAGATTGATAATTTGCAAGAGAATACTTTCAACTCAAATTGGAGGGATAAATTGTTAAGAAAGACATGAATGCCCCTATGACCACATGCTTCAAACATGACGTCAGAGTAAAAATTTTGAAATTATGCAACTCTAAAATTACCATCATCCCAAGTACATCACTACATACATTATATTCATGTTCACTCCAACCTCCGTTCAAAAGCTTTTGACCCTAGGGGTATTCTCGTATTTTTGAAGAATTTTTCTCTTCAAATAAGCTGAAAGCATCCTCCAGCAAATTATCAGTTTTTAAAGTGTCTTTTAGCCGTGACATGTTTTTACGATTACTACCAGCAAACTACACAAATTTTGATTGTCCTGTAGCAAAAATTTGCCCCTAATCTTTGTATAATGTAGCATTAGAGAGGTCTAAAGTGCATATGACATGGTTCGACTGTTGATGTGGCCAAGAATTTTGCCTTTAGACCCTCGTGCTATAGTACGCATTCAAGTAGACTCTCACCACTCCCAAATATTTTTGTACATCACTTAAAATACAAAATTTCTAAATGTTGAGAAATGCATATTTGCTTATTTCGGGTGGTAAGAATCGGTTTTAGAGGCAAACAGTTGTGAAGGGACCTAAGTGTAAAATTCTCGCCACCGTAGTCAGGCATGTCAGCATTTGAGTTACTAGCTGACTGCCCATGCATGCTTTGCATAGGAATTAAAAAAAAAACTATCGTGCGCTCTAAAGCCCCCCAAAAACATAATAAAAATATCCCATTGTATTCAATTTCACATTATTTTTTGTACATGTATGTGATGCTATGGAATTGGTCCCAAATGTCAGTGGTGGTGGGCAGTGACAGATTTACCATTCATCACCATTGCAGTCTTTTAAATAACCATCTACAGTTTAGACTTGAAATGATACATTAAACCAATATTAAATACCCATATGTGCTTATAAGTTTATGTACCTAAATGACACCTTCGGTTTTAAATTCAAGGACGGGTCATGTATTTTACTCAAAAACTTATGATGTCTTTAAAGTATATATTGTATGAAAATTTAGTCATTTTATTATTTTTCTAATATAAGATTCGGATTTCTACTAGAGATATCCTAAATTACTTTGAAATGAATGATTGCAGGTATATCAAAGATGAGCTGAAAACAATGCAAGCGTTCCTACGAGCTGCTGAAGTTATGAAGAAGAAAGATGAGCTCTTAAAGGTTTGGGCAGAACAGATACGTGACTTGTCCTATGACATTGAAGATTGCCTTGACGAATTCAAGGTCCATATTGAGAGCCAAAATCTGTTTTATCAGATGGTGAAGCTCAGAAAGCGCCATCTGATAGCTACCCAAATCCGTAACCTCAAATCAAGAGTTGAAGAAGTGAGTAGCAGAAACTCACGCTACAATTTAGTCAAACCTATTTCATCCAGCAATGAGGATGACATGGATTGTTACGCAGAAGACATTCGTAATCAGTCAACTAGCAATGTAGATGAAACTGAGCTTGTGGGGTTCTCTGACTCTAAGATAAGGTTGCTCGAATTAATCAGTGCCAATGTAATAATGGTCCAACCAAAGTAATATGTGTGGTTGGGATGGGTGGTTTAGGCAAGACAGCTCTTTCCAGGAAGATCTTTGAAAGCAAAGAGGACATCGGAAAGAACTTTCCATGTAATGCATGGATCACTGTGTCACAATCATTTAACAGGATTGAGCTACTCAAAGATATGATACGGCAATTTCTAGGTTCCAATTCACTGGATCAAGTCTTGCAAGAATTGCAGGGGAAAATGGTGGTGCAAATACCTCATCTTTCTGACTACTTGAGAAAAAAGCTCAAGGAAAAGAGGTATTTTGTTGTTCTTGATGATCTATGGTCTTTAGATGCATGGAACTGGATTAATGATATTGCATTTCCTAAGAATAACAATAAGGGCAGTCGGATTGTAGTAACCACACGAGATGTTGGTCTAGCCGAGAAGTGTACCACAACTTCCCTAGTCTACCATCTTGAACACTTGCAGATGAATGATGCCATAACTTTGCTACTGAGAAAAACAAATAGAACACATGAGGACATGGGAACAAACAAAAATATGCAAAAAATAGTTGAACAAATTGTAAATAAGTGTGGCCGTCTACCATTAGCGATACTTACAATAGGAGCTGTGTTGGCAACTAAACAAGTTTTAGAATGGGAGAAATTTTATAAACAGCTTCCTTCAGAACTTGAAAGCAACCCAAGCCTTCAAGCTTTGAGGAGAATGGTGACCCTTGGCTACAACCACCTGCCATCTCATCTGAAATCATGCTTTTTGTACCTAAGTATCTTCCCTGAGGATTTTGAGATCAAAAGGAGTCGCTTGGTAGACAGATGGATTGCAGAGGGGTTTGTTAGAGCCAAGGTTGGGATGACGACCAAGGATGTTGGGGACAGTTACTTTAATGAGCTAATCAACCGAAGTATGATTCAAAGATCAAGAGTGGGCATAGAAGGAAAAATTAAGAGTTGCCGAGTCCATGATATCATGCGTGATATCACAGTTTCAATCTCTAGAGAGGAGAACTTTGTATTCTTACCAGTGCATGATGGCTCCAATCTAGCACAGGAAAACACTCGCCACATAGCATTGCATGGGAGCATGTCCTGCAAAACAGGATTGGATTGGAGCATTATTCGATCCTTAGCTATTTTTGGTGACAGACCCAATAATCTAGCACACACTATTTGTTCAAATAAATTCAGGATGTTACGGGTGTTGGATCTTGAAGATGTGAAGTTTTTAATCACACAAAAAGATTTCAACAATATAGCATTGTTGCGTCACTTGAAGTACTTGAGCTTTGGAAGAATATTCTCATCATGCATATATACTCTTCCCAGATCTATTGGTAAATTACATGGCTTACAGACCTTGAATATGTCAAGTACATACATTGCAACACTACCAACTGAGATCAGTAAACTCCAATGTCTGCGCACTCTTCGTTGTACAAGGGTATCTAATAATAACAATTTTAGTATAAATCACCCGGTGAAGTGCTTAACTAACACAATGTGTCTGCCTAATATATTCACACCTTCAGTTAGTAGCGACAATCGTGCCAAACAAATTGCTGAATTGCACATGGCCACCAAAAGTTGTTGGTCTGAATCATACAGTGTGAAGGTACCCAAAGGTATAGGCAAGTTGGGAGAATTACAGATACTAGAGCATGTGGATATCAGGAGGACTAGTACTAGTGCAATCCAAGAATTGGCGCAACTAAGCAAGCTGACTAAATTAAGTGTGACAACAAAGGGATCCACAGAGGAAAAATGTAAGATACTCTATAGAGCCATCCAAAGGCTCTGTTCCCTGCAATCTCTCCGTGTGGATGCTGAGGGGTCCTCAGGAAATGGAACACTTAAATGTCTAGATTCTATTTCCTATCCTCCTCTGTTACTAAAGACACTCAAGTTGTATGGAGATCTTGAAGAGATGCCCAACTGGATTGAGCAGCTCTCGCACCTCATGAAGTTCTACTTATTAGGGAGTAAACTAAAGGAAGGAAAAACCATGCTGATACTTGGGGCATTGCCCAACCTCATGCTGCTTTGTCTTTCACTTGATGCTTACCTCGGGGAGAATCTAGTATTCAGAACAGGAGCATTCCAAAAGCTCAGGACACTTTGGTTTGACAAGCTGGATCAGCTAAGAGAGATTAGGTTTGAGAACGACAGCTCGCCCCTATTGGAAAAGATAGGAATCCGATACTGCAGGTTGGAAATAGGGATTATTGGTATCTCTAACCTTATGAGGCTAAAGGAAATTACACTTGGATACAGAGTTAAAGTTGGTTATCTTGGTCAGTTGGAAAGAGAAGTTGGCACACACCCAAATCGCCCCGTGCTACGTATGGAGGAGGACCGAAGCTGTCACGACCTGAGAAGGGATGGCAAAGGATCAGCTGTAGAAATGGAAGCAACGGAGCCCCTCCCTGAGCCCGAGAGCTAGAACTCACAGGTGAGCACGTTGACAAGCCAATTCCCTGCATTGCAGCTCTACTAGATTTCTCTTCTGTTCAGTATTAGCCATCAGCTGTGATGATTCCAACCAACCTTTCATCTCTCCTGTTTTATTAACATAACAATGATCCAATAATGGAATGCTTTCTAAAAGGAAATCTATCACCGGCCAATGATGTGGATAATCCTAGAAAGACTTCGAGAGAAGAGATGAAAATGTTACAAATGTTAATCACCACTGATACTTCGTTGATGTCAACAAAAGAGGTAAATTTGAGTGAGCTGCCTTACGAACTATCTGAGAGGCATCCTGCTTTTCCTTTGGTTTACCAACTCCTGAAACTAGTATTGGTTTTGCCCGTTGCAACCGCATCAGTGGAGCGATGCTTTTCAGCAATGAAAATCATGAAGACAATATACTACAGAACAGATAAGTGATAAACTTATGAATGATTGTATTGTATGCTTCATGAGCCATGTTTTCTAGCTACAATTCGAAATGATGACATGAAAGCTCTCCTTGATCAAAAGGAGGGAACTTGCAAAGAGAAGATGTAATAGGTAATTAACTATTCCAACAGAGGTGTTGTATATTTATATCATACAGTGCTCTTAATTTATTTAGCCTATTATAATGCATGATATTAGTCTATTAAAGCAAACAGTTTATACTTATTCTACCGGTTTTGTTAGCATATATTTAATATTCGTAGTGACTAGTGACCTGACCCCAGCGACCATTAATTTTTTCCTTCTTCCGCCCTGGAGAAGAGCTAGGCACAGCTGTAGCTGGCTGATGGTCTCCTCCTCCTCTCCAGCGCCATCCTCTCCTTGCACACTGGCTCTCCGTCTCCGGGCGTCCCTCCTGCGTGCACCTCACCGCTCCGAGGACATGATGATCAACGAGGCTTCCTGCTTCCAGTTGCTAAATATAATATGTGCCTAACACTCTCAGTTGTTTCCATCCCAGGGTATGAAATTGATCTATCAGATTCGCTCCTTGCCACAAGGTGCAAACATTTGATGCTTAGTTTGATCAGGGTGTTCTGTTTCAGGGTTGTGGTTTGCACAATTACTCCCACTTTGTGCTTAGATATGCTTAGGCTGAGTTTGAGGAGAAGGGGACATAGAAGATTGGGAAGTTACGCAAAATGAGGTGAGCTATTACACTAGTACAGAACCTTTCATCTGTGAACATGCTTGGAATTAGCGGCCGTCACAAGAAATTCATCTCAATCGGGTCGACAAAGCGCCGGATTGAGATAACTCAGGCCCGTCACGGATCACACATATCAGTGACGGGCCGTAGTTTAGACCCGATTGAGATAACATTCCATATCTCGATCCCGTCACGGATGACACATATCAGTGACGGGCCGTAGTTTAGGCCCAATTGAGATAACATTCCATAGATGACACATATCAGTGACGGGCCTAAACTACAGCCCGTCACTGATATGTGTCATCTGTGACGGGCCTGAGTTATATTCCCATCTAATTAACATGTCTATGCGACCATATCTCAACAACTAGGCCCGTCACAGATGACTCATCTGTGACGGGCTCTATACTAATGCCCGATTGAGATGACTTGGTATTCTTTTTTTCCATTTTTCATATGAAATATTTATATCTGTGAGTTGACATGTAGCAAAATAATTAACTGAAGTATAATAATTCATTTTCTTAGTCAAAATAATTTTTCGGGTAGTAAATGATTTCAAATGGAAAAATTGTCAACAACAAAGTTGTATAACTTATCAATATTTACAATTTTTATTTTGGTCATTTTTCTATATAACTTTTTTTAACAGTTTGAATTTGAAATTGAAAATATAACAACTTCAAAAAATATTTTCAAATAATAAATAATTTCAAATGGAAAAGTCATCAACAACAAAGTTGTATAACTCATCAAGACCTATAACTTTTATTTTGGTCATTTTTCTATATCACTTTTTTTGAACAGTTTGAATTTGAATATAAAAATATGACAACTTCAAAACAATATTTTCAAATACTAAATGATTTCAACTAAAAACGTTATCAACAACAAAGTTGTATAACTCATCAAAATCTATAACTTTTATTTTGATCATTTTTCTATATAACTTTTTTTTGAACAGTTTAAATTTAAATTTGAAAACATGACAACTTCAAACAACATTTTTAAATACTAAATGATTTCAACTAAAAAAGTCATCAATAACAAAGTTGTATAACTCATCAATATCTATAACTTTTGCTTTTGTCATTTCTTCATCCGACGAAGTATTAGTAACATTGTTCACAAAATTGACATATCTGTGTTATAGTTTATAAAACCAGACGAGATATGTGAATTTTGTGAACAATGTTACTATCACTTTGTCAGATAAAGAAATGACCAAAATAAAAGTTATAGATCTTGATGAGTTATACAACTTTGTTGTTGATGACTTTTTCAATTGAAATCATTTAGTATTTGAAATTGTTGTTTGAAGTTGTCATATTTTCAAATTCAAATTCAAACTGTTCAATAAATGTTATATAGAGAAATGACCAAAATAAAAGTTGTAAATCTTGATAAGTTATACAACTTTGTTGTTGATGACTTTTCCATTTGAAATTATTTAGTATTTGAAAATATTGTTTGAAGTTATTATATTTTCAAATTCAAATTCAAACTGTTCAAAAAATGTTATATATAAAAATGATCAAAATAAAAGTTATAGATTTT